TCAGAATAGTCTTGATGCTAAATTATACATTATGTATTTTTCTATAACAAATAAAATAAAAGATGATCTGAAAGAACTAAAAGTTAAAGGAGGTGGAGGAGGAATGATCTCTTGAGGAGGGAGATGCCTTTATAACAGAAATGGGAGATACAATGCAGCAGGTGAAGGGAGAATTAAAAGCTAACCAGTGAAGAAAGCTAGGAGGAAAGGGAGACAGAATAAAGAAATTCTGTTGAAAACAAGAAAAATAAATGTCAGGAGGCATTAGACTACATGAGAAAAACATCAAGTGAGAAATAGAAAGATTCAGAGGGGGAAAAATTTCTTAAGTTGGTCATGGAAAGGAGGAGACAATGAAAAAGATAAAAACAGGCCATATCACAAACAGAATCTAGGTATGTTTGTCAAGAGGAGGGAAACAAGAAGCAGGAAGGAGCTGAGGATTTTAAGAATTATAAAATGCCTAAAATGTAGGTAAAACAACCTCATGGATAAAAACTTAATGGATTTTCAGCCGAGTGTAGGTAGAGTACATTGTCTAATACTTAAACTGGCCCCTATGTTCAGTATTTGTATTAAGGGTTCCAGGATCGAGTCCCCTGCCCTTGACAATGAGAAGTGTCCATAGAAAATGGAGTTGTACTTGATATATAAATGTATCTTGTCAGCATCCTTTTGAATACTCAAGATCCTTTCAACATGCAAGGGTAGAGTCTAATGGCAATTGGATGCCCAAATGGAAGTCTGCTGGTGCTAAAGTGTTCACAATTCTCTATTCAGAGCTCACTTTCCAGCCACTAGTTATGCACATTCATACAGACATTTGGAAATCTCCATCCATCTGCCATCCTGTTGAGTCCCTTCACTGGGCAAGGCGCATCTGCAGTGGAACCAGAGTGCTCTCCCTTTCACTCTGGGTCTGATATCCAGAAAACTGAGTAATATTCTCTGGTGTAAAGTTTTTCCTCAAATATTTAAACCTCCCACTATTGTATCTACTAAAGAAGTGTATACTAATTACTAGTTTCTCTTCACTGTCACATATATATAGGTTGTCTTTCTGAATTTGGTTAAATAGTACTGACAGTAAGAAATGTGTACCTTTTAATCATGGTTATAGTTCAGATGTTGAATTACAGAGAATGAAAGAGATATTTCTTTTTCATTTCCTAACAAGAATAATAATTTTGCAACTTCATTATTTTAAAAATGTAGAATAATTATTCCACTATGGGGCATTGTGATACCTTTTAGATGGTTATTGCATTTGTTATGAAGTGTTTTGTTTTCAATATTTTGTTCAGTTATTTGCCATTCTGGTAAATACGTGTTTCTTTTCAACACAATATATCTTGAAACAGTGACAAAATAAGTGAATTTAAAAGCTTAAAGAGTACTTTAAACAGTGTAAATATATTTCTAAAATAATACTTTAAATTTCTAAAATTGTCATGAAGAAAATAAGCTCATAAATTAATAACCAATGTGTCATACTGTGGATACTCAAGTGTATTTGGCATTTAATTAATAAAAATGATACAAGGGCAAACTGAATATGAAAGTCACCTTCCACTAAATATTTGGAATGATAGAATTAGAGTTACATTTATTTGCACTATTAAAAGCTAATCAATTGTGTTATAAATTAGTTATATTTTACCCATATTATTCAAATTTCAAAAGAAGGGTTTTCTTAGTTAAATTACAGAATAATGTCTTACTTTTAATATGGATCCTAAGATAAACATCCTGTTGCAAAACTGTTTCTTTGAAATTATAGTTTCTTCAAAAACTCTTATTACTCAGAAAAGAAAATGACAAAGCTTAATAGAAAGCAGACTGAGAAAAGTAGGGAGCTACATTAAATTGTTTATTTACTGTCCTGATTTCTGAGTTATAGTTTTATGGTCTGTCCCAGGGTTCCTCAATGTCGATACTATTGACATTTTGACATAAATAAATCTTTGTTCTGGGGAGCTGGCCTGGACATCTTCGGACATTTAGCAGCATCCCTGGCCTCTACCATTTAGATGCCAGTAGCTCTCATCCTTCCACTGAGCTGTGACAACTAAAATCTCTCTGGATATTGCCAAATGCCCCCTATGGGACAAAACTGCCCCTGGTTGAAAACCACTAGTCTACTTCATATGTATTCTAATCCCTTAAAATTTATTTAGGTAAAGGAATTGTTTTGAAAAAAAAATTTTTTTTTGTAAATGTCAGTTTTCAAATCCATATATTCTTAAGAAAAAGAATGCTTTTACTAAAAGGAGTGTTTTTTTTTAAGTTTTCCAATCTAAATCATGATAATTTGTATGTTTATTTAAAAATCTGGTAGTAATATAATTTGTGTGTTTTACAAAGCATATACTTTTATTTTTAAAAATATGCTTTTATTGATTTTTTTTAGAGAGAGGGGAAGGGAGAAAGAGAGAGAAACATAGATTGATCAGATGCCTCTTGCATGCCCCCTACTGGGGATCGAGCCTACTACCCAGGCATGTGCCCTGACTGGGAGTTGAACTGGTGACCTCTTGGTTCATTGGTCGATATTCAATCACTGAGTAACCCTGGCTGGGAATGTATTGTGTATTTCTCACTTCATCTCCAGGTAGCACAGATATATCGTAATATAATTACTGTCTAAGTAAAGAAGAAAACTAAAAAAAAAAACCTGATTAATTTAACTTACTTTTCTTGGTTTTACTAGATAGGTTTTTCAAATCAACTAGGTCATTTATGGATTTTTATACTTTACTGAATTTTTTTTAAAAGTATACAATATTTGCCATTAAAATAAAATATCTAATTTTACCATATCTTATGAATATCTACAAAATTTAAGATATGTTCTATAATTTCCTACTAATTTAACAATATCTAAAATAACAAATTATTAATAATTTGTGTTGTTTTCAAATTAAAAAAAAGTGTTTTTGATTTTTTCAAATGGTATAGAAGGGTCATAAAATTTCACCTAGAACAATAAAGACTTAAAAAGCAGGATCATTACTTTTAACATGATTACAGTTTTATAACTTAACTAAGCCATCAATATTAATCAATACTTCTTTGAGATTAATAGAGAAATATCTGCCAGTTTAGCAGCTTTTTTCTGGAATTACTCAATGTATATAGAGTAGTGTGATTTGATCAAAAAAATGAACAGAATCAGAAATATGAATACCATGCAAACTATTAACACTTTATGTAGAAAATAGGGAGAAGAAAAGTTGTTTTTAAATGGAGAGATCTTGGTAATTGGAAATCAATGCAAAAATTGATTAAAAGTATATATTTAACATAAAAATATTCATATAAATTACTTTTAAAATTTCTTGCTATAATTAATCCTATAAGCCTATATGCACATAAATGTATATGTGTAATTTTTAAGTATAATTCTATTGATTTCAGAGAAGAAGGGAGAGGGAGAGAGAGAGAGATATCAATGATGAGAAAGAATCATTGATAAGCTGCCTCCTGCACGCCCCCTACTGGGGATCAAGCCCACAACCCAGGCATGTGCCCTTGACTGGAATCTAACCTAGACCCTTCAGTCCGCAGGCCAATGCTCTATCCACTGAGCCAAACCAGCTAGGGCTGTATATGTATATGTTTTAGATTAAGTACAGACTTACTATTTATTCTTATTCCAATGAATACAAATTGGCTTCAGTTGTCTCAAATTTATATGGGAAAAATATAAACATTGTAATTCATCTCACTCTTTTACTCTTTTTCTATATATTTAAAATATTTTTTTCTAGTAAGTTTTATAGAACCTTAAAAGAATTTGTCATTGAATAGTACTTAAATTTGGCTAATTTTTCAAATATTTGAACATATTTGTATCACAAGTTGGAGCAGCTCAGTAGCATAAATAGAAGAGAATGAGTACCTCATAATTAAGGTATTATTATGTGTTTTTATAATAGCAACTTGGTCAGCATAATATATATATATGCTGTATATATATATATATATATATATACAAAAAATTTGTATTATCCATGGAGTGCTATTACTTACTGTCCCGAATATTAAGAATTGGGATGAGATTGGTGATTTGGCAGTGCAAGGAAAGGATCTAACTTTTGATCCCTAAAGGACTTTTTTGTGAAAAATCTCAATATTTATGGACAGTGGTTATTATTTCTGTTGTGTTAGTATTTCTGATCAAGTTTGAATTTATTGCAATGGCATACTTGAACTATTGCTGTATCAATTAATTATGTTAGGCATAATCTTAATTAGATCATTTGTTTTCTATAGAAATTTTTATTAATTAGGAGGATTCCCAGTGCCATCTTCTGGTTTCATGGCTATTAGAAAGAGATCTTCATATTTGCCACTCCTTTTAAAACAGGGTAAAGAGGAGGCTCTTATGTAAGTAGATACAGTTGTTGAAATTTTTCCCCTTATTCAAAAAATGGTTTAAAGAATTATATTTTTAAGTGACAAAACTACATTTCGTTTTTAAAATGTGAGGTTAAAATCTTTTTTAAATTGTATCATAAATTTTCAGATTTTTTTCTCCCTGACACCACCATAAAAGTCATTAATCCTGCAACTTTGTTAGAAGAATTATGTAGGCCCATATTCTATTTGAATGCAAAGTTAACTCCAGAGGATCTTCTCCTGTTACCAGAAATTTCCTTTTCTAATACTACCCTAGTTGATACTACTTTTAGTTAAAAAATAATTCATGTCTATTTTACCAGTAAGTAAAGAGCTACATTTCCATTAAGCAAAGAAAACACTTAAACTTTATAACATGAATAACTTTAAATACAAAGAAGGCACATGCAGTTTTCTTAATTACTAACTTTCTAATGTTTATATTTTGTGGCAAATAAGAACATTAACTGAATTTTTAAAATATCTTCTTGTCTATTTGATTAGTGTGTTGTTGTTTTTTTCTTAATTATAAGGAGAAAAAAAACTCTTTGATTTTACCTCTCTGCTTTTGTTGTTGAAGCTTCTTTGCTTTATTACAGTACATGGAGTTTGGGAGGAGTGGTCACCATGGAGTTTATGTTCATTTACATGCGGTCGAGGCCAAAGAACAAGAACAAGGTCGTGCACACCTCCTCAGTACGGAGGAAGGCCATGTGAAGGACCTGAAACACATCATAAGCCTTGTAATATTGCTCTCTGCCCAGGTGAGTGTATTCTGCATCTGTAATCTTGCAATTTGTATACTCCATATGTGGTCTCTGATATGTGTTAAGAAATATTAGGGGCACAACCTTCATTCCGTCACATTGAAAAATGTGGTTTTGGTTATTTTTCCTTGGTTTAAACTGGGTTCCCTTCTTGATTTTTGTCATATGCAATGGTGTATAATATTTCCTTGACTGAATACTAATCATTGCTCACTTTATTGGATTTCTATAATTATGTATATTAATGCTTCCTACTAAGATTTAGGAGTCCCAAAGACTTGAGAATGACTATAGCCTTCATCATATAACTAGAGAGACTGGTGAAGAGCGGATCTTTAGATGTTATTCTCTCACACTCAATCAACTAAGCAGTGGAAATGTGCAAATGACCATGCATGAAAATGATAGATATTTGCTAGGAAATATAATCTCCTAGATTCACTGCTAGATGCATCAAATAGTTAGGTCATAACTGTCATAATTATTGCAATTATAAAGTCTATATAATCTGTTTTTAGAGTGTATTTATATGATTTTAAATTTTTCTTTCCTTTAAGTCTTTAAATTCTATTTTGCCTATCTTTAATAATTTCATCCATTATTACAGAGAGAAGTCTTCAAAATGATGTTATTTAGGTTATTGAAACATTCCAGCATAAAACCTGCAAAATGAGAAAGCCTAATCGCCAATTTTAAGGGCTTCCATTTATGGGAGAAAATGCACACACACACTAATCATAGAATCTCCCTGGACTAGCAAAGGCACAATTTAGAGGAAGAGGCAGACACGAGTGGCAAATGACAAAGGCTAATAAGAGTAGCAGATTCCAAAATATATAATCATTCATCTACTCCCAGGGAGATTTTCTCATAGGCCTGTTTAGTCACATATTCTGTATGCAACCAACATAGCTGGGATGCCAGAAATGTGCTCCAAACACATTCTCTAACTCACACAGTTTCATTCGCACTTTAAATTCTTCAACTTTATATCCTATATTTTGAGACAATAATTCAAAGTTCTTCTGGAAATTGTAAGCATCTAAAACATCTTCAGACTATGAAAAACCATCCAAAATATAGATATACAATAGTCATCTAAAAAGCTTATTTGTTTTCTTATAGTTTAGAGAAAGTTTATATTGAGTAACATTGTTCTCCTAGAATTTTATGAATTGTGAATATAACTCATACAATTCGGTGTTCATGTAATTATAACTATTGGGGAGTCAAAAAATCATCATTTATTTTCAAATTACCCCTGGAAAGTTTATTAATGAAATCAGTTATGTTCTGTCTTATATCTACCTTTCTCTATAAACATACAGATACACACAGACACACAAGTCTCCTGCCTTTATTCCAAAGATTTGGGGAAGCTTATAGAAATTTTAGAATCTTTTTTTAAGTGCTTAGCTTTGCCATTTATAGAATCAAATACAGTTCACTCTTATTTGTCCGTGAAGTTTAAAAAAGTAGAAAACATGGAGAAATTAAAAAAAAAATAGCTAACTGTAGAATCTTTTAACATGTTTGGTTTTATTACTTCTTTTGCCTCAGTTGATCCCCAGTTCAAAGACAAAATGGCACTGATCAGTTAAAAATGTTAGCAATCAGTTTTCTCATAGTCTGCCTCCCAGGAACTTTTTTAGAATAAAATGGTTGGCTATCAATAGGGACAGGGATACTAAGTTGTTAGAGTTCAGATAAGAAACTGCATTCCTAATTTGATATAGTTGTTGCTTTATCATGCAAGTAGGTGCTGCATATGTTTTCAAGTACTTGTTTTAACAGTATGACACCACCATTAGAATCTCTCTAAGACCATAAAAATTAGATTGCTCTTTTTTGTATAGGTCCTTAATTTTTTAAAGGTATGATTATATTATCTGTAAATCTTGCCTAGCTCATGCTCTCTCTTAAATGATCATTATGGAGCCATCTTCATTACTTAATTTATCATGTGTCAGTTCTGACTCCTATTATTTCCATTATTGAATTTAGTTGCATTACAGAAGATCTACTATTCTTACCATGTCTGCAAAAAATGTTGGCATTATGCTTTTGAAATATGTAAGATTTATTTGGTCTGAGCATTTGGAATTCTCCTTAGAAGTAATTGTCTTATTACTAAACTCAGGCATCTTTACTAAATATAATAAGCATCATCAAGTATCAACAAGATATAAGACAGTAGTGAGAAGAACATATAGTTCCTGATCTCAATAAATTTACAATTTCTTCATAGGATTCAGACATAAGCATGTGAAAATTTGAGTGCAGTTCTAGAAAACACATAAATATAGTCAACCGCAAGCCCAGCTGGTGTGGTTTAATGGTTGAGCGTTGACCTATGACCCAGAAGGTCACAGTTCGAGTTCAGGTCAGGGCTCATGTGTGGTAGTGGGCTTGATCCCCAGTAGGGGGTGTGCAGGAGACAGCTGATCAATGATTCTCTGTCATCATTGATGTTTTTATCTCTCTCTCCCTCTCCCTTACTCTCTGAAATCAATCAAAATATATTTTAAAAAATAGTCTACCTCAATGAAAGGTAATGATTTGAGAACTCAGTGGGTTCAACCTACATTTCTTTTAGCCAACCTACCTGAGATTCCTAAGACATCATCTTAAGAGGTAAGTCTATCATAGGAAGTTAATCAGTAATGAAAACAGTAGGCCAAGGCTTACAATTGGTTCTCCTTGGTTAGGCCAGTTGCGAAATGAAGACCAGACAAAGTCAGAAGAAATATTTGAAACAACAAATGTGGATTTGACCATTGGGTTGTGGTAATGGACAGTGACATTTTTGTGTGGGATTATATCAAATAGCATTCCAGCATCCTGCTTTAAGAAACACATATAACCACTATATTAAAGTGGATGTTATGTAGAGGTGATGTATACTGTTTGCATCAAATAATGAAATACATTTTATTTATGCAAATTTTGATATCAGCTTATAAATAGATGACATCCTATTTTGATCAGGTACGTTTCTTAGTCAGTGTTCAACTTATTCCCACTTCTTTTGAGGTTAGGGTAAACCATTTACCTGCGATCCATTTATGGAGAGAAAATAGAAAGTGTGGGTATGGTATTAACCTAGTTTGAATTAATAGTTACTAATTTGTGCACCATGTCCAAGAATAGAGACTAGTGTTGATTGGGGGAAGGTGGGCGAGAGGTATAGAGCAACAAAAGGGAGTCACTATGATTCATTCACTGACTCATAAAAATAATGTGAACTCATTTTCTACCTTTTCTCCTGTACACTGGTAATTATGTGTGATATTATGGAAGGGTATGTATATATGTGTGTATGATCAATCGTCTTTGTGATCCATTTCTTTTATCTCACCAACTTAGAACTTCTAGCAATCCAATCTATTTTTTTCTGTTTTCTCTGAATATTCAATGCAGTCACTAACTGCATCAAGTTTATAGTAGTATTAATTGATGCATTTGAGGTGAATGGTATTCTGTTCCATCTCCTCTTTATCTCCCCATGCAACTTTGTACCTGATAGTATCCAATAAATTACTATTGAATGGATTTTCTTGACATGTACATAGCCAGATTTCTAGTACTCATCCCGAAATGTTTTTTGGATATTTTTCTGAATATATTTAATAATACATTGATGGGGTATCATGAAAGGAACTTGGACTTTTAAATGTAGACCTTACCTTTCCGTGTTGCTTCTCTGATGCCTAGTTTCTTCACCTGCAAAATGGGGACGATGGTAATGCCAGGATGTTGAGAGGACTATGTGAGATGATGAGGGAGTGAATGTGGTAAATAGCAAACAGTGTATAAGTAATATAGCTATGCTTTCCAGTCAAAGACCATCAGGATAACACCTGGACTTGAACGGGTTGGGTTTTTTATTCTTGGCAGTGAGGGAATATCAACGTAGGAACACAGTGGGACCCAAATACCTGTTATGTAAGACAAGAGGCTTCAGTCTCCTGTGGACCTAAAATGTTGATTTCTCAGCAGCTATGAGAGGGTGTCCCGGCCAAGGTCCCTCGCAGGGAACCCTTTTGGTGAGGACACTGAGTGGAAAGTTGCTAATAAACACTTGCCTGAACTTGGTCCAAAGGTCCTTGGTTGTCTCTGTATGAGGATGTTACAATTTGAAACACAAATGCTACCTCATTAACCTGTTCTTTAATTGATTTGCATTTTATCTTTTTTAACTTCTAGTCTTTTGTATGGCAATTGTAGTCATTCTGGGTCACTTCACTAATTCCAGTGATCTTTCAGTTGAGCTTATAGGAGTTTAAGAAACTGTGCCTTAATTAGTCCTGGCTTGTTTTCTTTTATTATTTAATATTTTTTCTCATTTAAACTTTGTCTTAACTTACCAACTTTTAAAAAATTCTCCTTAGCCCTTATCATAACTTGCTTCCACTTTCTTTATTGATTAAGGTATTACATATGTGTCCTTATCTCCCAATGTCCCCCAAACCACCCCCTGCTCATGCCCTCACACCCCTACTGTCTGTGAACATTGGTTATGCTTATATGCATAAACCTTGTCATCATTGCTCTTGCTTCCACTTTTAATTCTAATTTTTAAATGGTATTTCGTTCTGAATTTTCTCTTTTGTAATTTATTTTAAATTGGCAAGTGGGGAACATAGGTTTATGTTCTTCAGCATATGTCCACAGCAAGAGGATGGCAGTTTTACCTTTCAGTCTTTTTTTTTTTAATATATTTTATTGATTTTTTTTACAGAGAGAAAGGGAGAGGGATAGAGAGTTAGAAACATCGATGGGAGAGAAACATTAACCAGCCGCCTCCTGCACACCTCCTACTGGGGATGTGCCCGCAACCAAGGTACATGCCCTTGACCGGAATCGAACCTGGGACCTTTCAGTCCGCAGGCCGACGCTCTATTCACTGAGTCAAACCGGTTTGGCTTACCTTTCAGTCTTGTATCCTCAAGTTTATTAGTTTCCTGGGCAACCTCCCACTCAATAAAAATCCAGAC